CTCAGATGCTTCAAAGGTCTATCTCACAGCAGACGCAGGACAAATTCTGTCCTCAACCTCTTGGATATGCTAATATGAAGAAAAATAAAGTCATTTTCATATTGAGGTGCCATTTGTGCATCTGCTTGGGCACAGCACAAACTTGGAGCAGCTGATCCTATTTGCTTTGAATCGGAGGGGACACAGCCTGGGAAGAGCCTCATCCTTCCCAAAATGAAGGCAACGGGCCATATGAGGGAACCCAGAAGTACTTTTTGACAGCAATACGGAAACGCCAGGGATTTCAGGAATGCAAAGGGTTCCTCCCTTCATTCTGACTCCCTGGCCCACTTCAGGAGCAAATGAGGGTCTTCCTCCCACCCAGATTCGGCGTCAGTCTGTGGCCATAGTGGTGGGAAGCTGCTTTTTCTTTCCTTTCTTTTTTTTTTCCCTTATGTCACAAATTCCTGAGTCACGTCCCAGCAACAAAGTCACCTGCTCCCTCGTGAGCTCAGCTGAGGACGGAGGTCACGGTGTTGCATAACCGGAGTTCCCTGTTTCCCTGTGCCGGGAGAATATATGTATATATGTATATGTATTTTATACATATATGTGTGTGTGTGTGTATATATCACATTAAAATCAGTTGTGTTGCTGCAGCTCTGGGTACAAGTGGTAGTTTTGGGGAACTCTTTCAGACCCCCGTTTTTCCATTCTGCACATGAAGAACTCGTTTGGCTTGTCCAAAATGACACAGAAGACCGACCTAGGCTGGCTAATTCCCAAATTAAAGTAATAAATGCACCATTAGAATAATCTTTCTCGGGGAAAAAAATGTATTTTTCTTGTTGTCCCTGAACTTCCCATGTTGAATAGGAAAGCTGTAACATCTTGTATATTAAGAGAACCAACGCAATGCAAGTTTTCAAGGATGTATCATGCAAAGAAGAAGCTAGAAGGGGGCTGCATGAGTGTAAAGCCAAGATTAGGAAGGTGGAGAGAAGAAATGAGGGAAAAATATTAAGATCTCCTATTTGGATAGTAAATCTTCAGTTTTTAAGATTGTCGACTTACGGTGAACAAGGGAAAATCTACCCTAACTAGAATGAAGATGGGAAATCTTCATCCCCCTATCAGCGGGAAATCTCACAGCCCAGCTTTCTTTGGGAAGGAGCCCCTTGAGCTCCTAGTTGCTTTCCTAAATTAAATGTGCCCCCGCATCCTACCCTTGTCCTGAGCAGTAGCAATTGACTGGGGGAAAAAAAAAAAAATTCTATTTGATTTACTTTGCTGACATCAGAAAGAGAGGGCAGAGTCATCAAGTTTTGAAATCCTGGAGCATCCTGCTCTCAAAATCTGCATGATCTTTTCTGCGTGAAATCACCCTGCTATATAAATGGCTTTTCTAAACTTAAGGAAGGTGATTCTGTTTTGTTTCAGGGCTATTTGCTGAGTAATGCTGGGCCTAAGAATCCATGATTCAATCATCAGGGATTCAACAAGAGATAAGAGAGGGTTTTCCAAGGCCTCGGGGCTATTTCCCTTATCTCTCTCATGGAGCTGTGGATTTTGCTCCAAAGGCTGAAGCTTGGTCTGAATAAAGATTAGGGTTTTTTTCCCTTTGATATATTAAAACCTTATGCAAAACCAATAAGAGCTCTTGTCTCGTGCTTAGGTTTGACGCACAAGGGAATCACTGGTTCGTATATGGACAACCCTCCTCAAAAACCATCATTTCTTTTGCTCAAAATGAACGACAACAAAAAAAGAAAAAAAAGATAAGACAAGTCTAACACTTCCTCAGAGACAATCAGAAGACCAGGAGGAGTCAATGCAAAGTTTTAGCTTGTACTTTTGTTTCTTGAAAAATAGAAGACTCATTGGAAAAAAAAGGGGAGGGGGGAAGGGTGCTCCCCACTGACAAAAAAGTAGGAATATTCTCTATATTCTGTAGAATGTAGAGGTTCTGGAGAATATTGTTCCAACCCAAAGGATGAGCTCTGCAATGTGCCAATGACTCACAGCTGAGGCAACGTACTGGAGATTTTAGAGGAAGTATTTAAGTTTAAAAATCCACTTTTGAATGCACTTTAAAAGGATAAAGAAAAAAATATACTTTTTTTTTTTTCCAGAATGAAATTCAATAGGAGCAGAAATAAAACTGTCCTGCTGAATTTATTTGGAAGCTGGTCTCTGCTTGAGCAGAACAAAGTGCTAAATGTGCCTTCAGATTCATCCAAATGCTGAAAGATTGTATTTTGGAAATGAATTTAAACAAGGTGAAAATAAACTATATTGGAATACAAAGGGTTAGTCATAGCAAGTTACAGGAAAAATGAGCTTTAATAATTTCCTGACCTCCATCCGGCGGCATTTCGTGCCGTATCCCCACTGCCACGAACATAGAGTATTTTTAAACCAGGCTGTACAAAGTCCAGGAGAGAAAACAGGTTCTTTGTGTTTTTGTCAACAAAGACTTCAGAGACAATACGGAAAATTGCAAAAGCAGGAGATGGTGACGAGCTCAGAGGGAATCCCGTAGGAGCTGGAGGTAGAGAGAAGTTACAGGAGATTTATTTGCTTGAGTATTATTGCTTTGCTCAAAGCATAAATAAAAATGCAGTAAAGGACTTTTTTCTTTCTTTCTTTTTTTTTTTTTTTTTGTAAGTTAAAAATGATACCTAAAGTTGCATAACAATCTATGTTCCTCTGTGCTTGCTATGTCAAAGCATCAAAGCATAACATTAAAAACACAAAAAAACGCAATAATTTTTTTAAAAGATCCACTTTTCCTTCTTAAATATTGGGGTACATAGTTAAGCATATTAAATATGATTTCTCTGAATATTTAAAAAAATTCACTGGGAAGTCTACTTATCTGAAATCAGTTGTTAAAATATGAAGATGACAAAAATTCTGGTGGGTTATAAGTGGCAGCAGGAAAAAAAATCCTTATCTATCTTTCTATATATACACACACATATATCATCGATGTGTGCATATATGTGTGTTTTTATATAAATACAATTAGATTCCTATAGAAAATAAATGTCAAATTCTCCTAAATATGTAAATGCTACTTGTAAAAATACATATACACGATGCAATACTTCTAAAAAGCTAGAGAGATGTTGGATACAGGACAGAAAAGCTCTTAGGTGGCAAGTGAGTCTGGAATAGTCTTGCCCAGCACCCACAGACTAAGGTGGGAAGAAGGAAGGAAAAAAAAATATATGTATATAACATATATATATGTATATAGTATATATCTATATATCTGTATTTTTTTTATATATATATATAATATAGATATTTCCCTGTCCTGTTTGGTGTCTCCTCTGGCCTAGTACAAAGCATGAGCTCCTGTAGAGCATCCTAACACCTCCTGAAGATGCAGAGACACCGACCTGCACCACTGCATCCCTCCAGCCCTGGCTTTGGTTTTCTGCCTGTGCAGCCCCTAACACCAGATTTTTTCTTGCCTTTGAGCCCGTAGGGTTCCCCTTTTCACTGCCTGGAATAAGACCCAGGTTCTTCCCTTTTCAGCCTTCCCGCAGCCTTTCCCATTTTGGCTGCTGAATTTCAGCTGACTGATTAGATTTATTATTTATAGTTTATCGGGTGTTGGACTAGATGATCTCTAGAGGTCCCGTCCAACCTTAACCATTCTGTGATTCTGCATGACATATATATTTATATTCTATATTTATACATATTTCCAAAGTGGTGCATCTATTTCTGAAACTGGTGGAAAATATATTTTATCCCCATCCCTTCTTGGAGTAGGGGAGAAAACAACAACAACAAAGATCTTTCTTGTTAAGAGAAATTTTCCTATCCTGATGGCTTAGAACAGGAAATGAAACTTTCTCCTTGGATGAATTTTCTGGGCAGTTTGATCTTCCCATCAAAATCAGCCAAAATGGAGGGGTGAAAGTCAGTTAACAAATGTGTGGTAAAAAGAAAAGATGGATTTTCCAGACTAAAAGCTCCAAGGATGCTAGCAGGATAGAGGAGAGTGCAGGCGGGTGCTAGTGGGATGTTATTTGGGTGAAGGTGGGATGGAGAAGGAACACAGACAGGACGGAGGAGGGATGGAGACCAGATGTTGGTAGGATGGAGATGGTAGCAGGATGAAGGCGGGAAAGAAATGGCATAGGCGAGTGATTCAATTAGGGAAGAGCTGGAGGTGAGATGCAGATGAGGAGCAGAGAGGATGGAAGCAGGATAGAGGCTTGGTGGCTGTGAGACGCAGTCAGTATGGATGCAAAATAGCACCGTGGTGGAGGTGGGACATAGTTAGGACAGGTGGTAGGATGGAAGCAAGGTGAAGGTGGGATGGAATTAGGCTGGAGGTAAGATGGAAGCAGGATGAAGGTGGGATATAAGTGAGATGGGATGGAATTCAAATGGAGGTAGAATGGAAGGATGAAGGTGGGGTAGAGCTGAGATGCAGTTAGGTAGGATGGAGGTGGGATGGAAGCAGGGTGAAGATGGGATGCAGGTAAGATGGAAGGAAGATTAAGGTGGGATGGAGGTAGGATGGAAGCAGGGTGAAGATGGGACGGAGATGACACTGTTAGGTAGGATGGAGGTGGGATGGAAGCAGGGTGAAGATGGGACGGAGATGACACTGTTAGGTAGGATGGAGGTGGGATGGAAGCAGGGTGAAGATAGAAAGGAGGCAGGATGCAAACACGATGGAAGCAAGGTGAACATGTATGATGAAGCCGGGATGGAAGCAGGATGGCGGTGGGATGCAAGCACGAAGGAGGTGGGAGAGAAGACGGAGTCAGCGGGGATGCAGGTGCGGTGTGAGCGAGGTACAGGTGGGATGGAGACGGGATGCAGCTGGGTTGGATACGGACAGCGGGACGGAGCGGGAGGTGGGATAGAGGCGGGACGGGGCGGGATGAGGCGGGACACGCGCGGGACGGGGCGGGACGGGGCGGGACACGGGCGGGACGGAGCGCGGTGACTCAGGCGCAGGAGCCGCGCGCCGCCGTGACTCACGTCGGGGCGGGCCCGCAGCGCCGGCGCTTAAGGAGCGCGGCGGGCACGGGTGGCGCGCGACGGGGGCAGGTAAAGGCTGTGGGTCTGTTCGGTGTTTGCATCACGTTTATTTGCGTGCATTTATTTCTGTGCGTTTCTTTTCGGGGCGGGGGGAGGAGGGAATAGGCGCGCGCAGGATGGGGCCGGGGCCTTCGCCGCTTCTTTGCTCTGCCGGAGCCCTGCGCGGTGCTTTGCGCCCGCCGATCCCGGGCAGTGTGGGGTGGGAATTGGGATAAGGTCCCTCCGGCTCCTGGAAGGGCTTTTTCTGTCCTCTTTCCCCGGGGGTCGCTGCCCGATCGTCCCGGCTGTGGCGGGGGCTCTGAGCGGCCTCGATGTCTCGGAGAAGGTTGTTGAGCAGAGGGGCTGCGGGGACACGGGCTGTTTGGTGCAGATTGGGGTGTTTTTTAGCCGTTGCCCGGATGCTGGCGGGGGGGGCGCGTGATGTTTTGCTGCAGGGGAGGCTCCCAGAGCTCCAGTTCCTGGAAGCGGAGCAGGGGGAGGAGAGAGAGGAAATGTTGTCTCCCTAATGAAGGCTGAGAGAAAACAGGCCTGCTCGTCAGCTGACGCTGCGGGGCCGGGGCTGGCACCGCCGGAGCGCTTTGGGGAGCATCCCGTGACGCCTGCGGCTCCTGGCGCTGCTGCTGCAGCTCGGAGATGGCTCTGGGAAACGCTGCTTCATTCCTGCCTGTGCGGTGGTCTGCGTGGTGCGTGCCAAGCACGGCCCTGATGCAGCAAAATGCCCCTCCTCGCCGTGCTTCCCTTCAGCTTGCACAGCTGAGAGTGTTTCTCGGGGCTGTAAATCAAAACATTTCTGTTGTGAAGTCTGTTGCAACAGCTGAGGTCTTGTGCAAGGCTGGTTTATGGATCAATCTCCATGAAAAGCTTCTCTGAGGAAGAAAAAAAGTGCAGCTCCATTAGGGAGGATTGTGGCAGTTTCTGTTAAGGCAAGTGGTATGAATGACCATGGCAACTTGTCCCATGGGGTTTTTGTGTGTTTGCACTGTTCTTGTTGCCTTTTGTTGGTGGTTGTTGTTGGCCATCCAGCCTGTGCTGATGACTTGGCTTCTCTGAAGAGAGATGGGGGTGGGGAGGAGTGGCTCGTGCATCTTGAAAGCAAAAAGGAGGGGGAAGGGACAGTGCTTTGAGCTTTGATAGTCACGATGCTGGTGAAGTCACCTGGGCAAAGGTTCCTTGCAGTCTGCATGGGATGCCAGCCTGAACTGGCAGCAGATCAAACCAAGCAGGGCTGCTTTATTTACACACTTGCTTTATTGTGGCTCAGAGTCATGCATAAATATGGACAGCTGTGGCAGCACTGGCCGCAACCCAGGGCAGAGCTCCTCTTGAGGAAGAGGTTTTGCAGCTTGAGGAGGCCGTGTGACTTGGGTTTTGCTGAGCGCCTGCAGCCCTGGAGGGGTGATGAGCTATAGCTGCAAGGGTGAGACAGCCTTTATCGTCCTCAGACTGGTAAATAGTTGGTGAGTGTCTCTGTCTGTGCCCTGAGGTGTTTGGTCTGGGCATGTGAATCAGCTGAGAACTGCTTCTGGGTGTGACTCGTGGCCTGGCCTACCTGAAGCTGGTCATATGAGCTGTGCTTTTAATAGTCCCTTTGCATGCAAAATAAGCATGGGGGAAGGAGTGCAGAGAAATCCTTAGTCAGGTGGGGAAGGTGCTCTTATTTTTGGGCAAGCTGCAGAAGATGCTTCTGGTAGACCCCTGCAGGTAGGGATGCTGTGAACTGCACAGAAGTTTGACTGGGGTCTCCTGTTGCAATCTGGAGATAAAGGCACCTCTCCTTTGATGGCTCAGCAATGTGGGAGAAGGTAACACGACCCTCAGACTTGCTCTTTACTCTGGTTTAATGTGATCTGGGTCTCTCCCTGAGCAGGGGGCAGCCTCTAGCATCAACATCCACCAGGGATGGTGATGGGTGATCAGTCTCCTCCTTCCCTTGGGCTTGTACCATCGCAGATGGCAGCAGGAGGTGCAGAGGGACTGCAGGTGGGTGGCAGCACCAGCTGCCTCCATCTCACTGCGGGTGCTGTCTCCTCACATGCTCTCAATGGCTTGCAGCAGAACAGTCTCCCTGGGTAGCAGCTCGAGAGCTCTGCTTGTAAGGCCAAAATTCCCCTTAAAGAGAATCCAGAAGGCTGGATCACATCCAGCTGCTGCAGTCTGGGTCTTGCTTTGAGTCTGCTGTGTGATTGGTTGTGGGTAGCCACTTTCTGGAGGTGATTTTTATTTCTTTATATATATTTTTTTTTTGCTTTCCCTCCGAGGGACTGCACTAAGATGCTTTGGATCCCAAAGCCCATGTCAGGGGACTTTCATCTCCCAAGTACACAACCCAAGCAGAGCTAGAACAGCTCTGGGGGGGTTGACTACAACCTCCAAACATCTCCCTGGAGTCTGGAGAGGTGGCTTGGATGAGGTTACTCTGTAAGAAGAAGTTAAATAGCTTCTTTTTTCCTGCCTGTTCAACCATATTCTTGAGATAAGAGGCCATTAGGCCTGTGAAGATGACCTTTGTCAGAGTCATCCTCAAGCTATGAGGCTGTGGGTTGTGTGCATCTAGGCTGGATCTGCTGCATTTGGCATTCTGAGATCTCGTGTGTAGGTGGCCTGCCCTAATGCATGGGCAAGTGTTGCAGCAGTAGGTTGTTGAATCCATTTGGTTCCTTGGAGGGCAGGGCCTGTATTTGAAGGCTCAGTGTCCTGTGCTTAGACACAGGGTGACCCTCTGGGGCAGAGGACAAGGGATTTTAGTAATAAGTCTCTCTGAAACCAGCCCTTTCTTGAAAGAAGAGCTTTAGCTGCCTCCACTGCATGTCTCTACCCAGGCTTGGTTTTTGTACTGCTCTCTGGGCTCCTTTGGTGTCTTTCAAATTTGCGTTGAAGCTTTAGGAAGGAAATGGGGTGGTAACTGCCTGCAGAGCAGCAGCATGTGTGGGAGAGATAGTGATGGTGGGGAAATACTTGCAAGATAAAGGTGTCATGTGAAGCGTCTTGGCCTTATCTGTGGGGAAAGGGCATGATCAGAGAAGGCAGCAGCTCTGCTTTTACTTCTGCTTTGCCTTTTGGTGCCTGTTGGCTGGCATGGCGGGCCAGCTGCATGTGACTCTATGTCCTGCAGTCGTCTGCAGAAATTGGTCCCGCAAGTCCCATTCTTGCTCTATATATAGACCTGCCATGAGCAGAGTCCTTGTTTCTCCCTGTGTTGCCACCACTGAAACAAATCACATGAGCTCAAAGGGGTTCCCCCTTCCTTTTCCTCTTAAAACTTGGGATATTCCATGTAATCCAGCAGTGACCTAAGAGCTTGGAGTGTCAGCCTCCCCAAACCTTCTGGCACAGGGAATTTGGCCAGAGACTTTTCTATGAAATTGGCTGGCTGGCTCCCAGCTAATGGGTTGCACTGGGAGCCGTAGCTGTTTTCTCCCACTGGTTTTGCTGGCTACAAGTTGCTTTTTGGGTTAAATCCAGTGCAGCAGTCAGTCTGCTTAAAATGCAGGTGCTGGTCAGGGCTGACAGTGTTGCAAAGAGGATATCCCCTTTCAGCTTGGTCTTGGGTTGACTGGCGCTCGCAGCTGACAGATCTGTGATCTTGTAACCTGAGGATGCAAAAACCCTTCTGAGGCTGCTGGTCTGGAGCCCTCGGCAAAGAGCCTTTTGGAATATCATCAAATTTGCAAGCATCCTCCTGAAAACAAACCTGCTTCAAGTGCTTTCAGGCCTCCAAAGTGCCTCTCTGCTGTGTTGTGGAAAATAAAAACCTTCCTGCTGGAAGGATAGAGGTGATCTAAAGACCGTAGAGGGAGTTTTTAAGCCTAATAGCTGAGCTATGATCCCCGTATCATTGGTAGTGGAGGTTTGGCTCTGCTGGTTGCCCACCAGGAGCCATGCAGGAATATGTGGCCTGATGTCTTCTCCTGGACATGGTCAGGCTGTTGCGCCAACGGATCTTGCAGAGGGATCAGACGCACTGTGATCTTGGAGATGTGGTGGTGGGAGCCCATCTTGTGCATGCAGTGGAGTTTGACCAAATTTTGGTGTTTCCCAGGCACTTGGAGCCTGGAGAGGATAGCAAATGTGCTGGGGTGGTATTGAAATGCTCTGGACCCAGCTCTCAGCTGTGGCCAGCTCAGTTTGTTCTTTGTTTTCAGGCCACATTTAAATGTAGTAAAATTAGCCTGTGGGTTTCCAGCATAGGTCTTCATTTTGAGTGTTGTGACTCTCTGGTGGGGCAGGCCCATTTTTTTTAGACCCATGTAACAGAAAGTAGGTGTCCCCTCCACAGTGAGGCCCAATAGACTTGTGGTCTCTCTTACTTAACCATCTGCAGAGACTCACCTGCAGTGCTTATGGCACAATGCAGGTCTATTCTGCATGCTGTAAAACTAGGAAGGTGGCAGGGATCCTGAGGAAGGGCTAGAGAAGATGCTTTGCACTATTAGAACTTGGACTGGTTGCCTGTAGGCTTTCTGTAGTTGTCAAAATGCACTAGCTTTAGAAATACTTAGTTTGTCTTGGTGTAACCTCCTTTTTGCTGTCTAAGTGGGAGAGCGTGGTGAGAAAAGAGGGCTTGAAGACCTTCCTGGAAGTGCTACAGAGTCCCTTGTCTGTGAGAAACTCCTAAGTAAATAAATTTATGTAAAAAAACTTCCACAGAGAACTGAGACTGAGAGTTTCTGAAACTCAACCAGCTTTTGAGCTGAGCATCCTGCCACAGGCACAAAGAGGCCATGTGAAAGTAAACGGGGGGGAAGCCCTTTTGTACGGTTAGCTGCAACCCACTGGGCTTGTAGCTGGCAGAAAGTAGGACACTCCTGCCGGGCTTTCGTCTCGGAAGGCTAAACTTGGCTGCGAGTGGGAGGAGGCAGCATGCTTGGAAATGTGTGTGTGCCCCTGCATCCCCTGCGTGAACCGGGCTGAGCAGAAAGCTGCTGGCAGCAGCTCTTTGCCCAGCTGCTTAGGCGTATTTGCCCAGAAGGGCTTAAGCCCAGCTCCTTGGAGGTGATTACTCACCAACACAACTAGGAATTAAGGACTGAGTGGCTCTGCTGACTCTGAGGTCTTGGGTTGCTGGCTGAACTGGAAGCTTGTTTGGGGCTGGTTGAGCTTCATTTAAGTGAGCAGGGAGGCTTTGGTGGAGGAGGATGCCCCAGAGTGTCTGCTGGGTGACTCCTATTCTGTGTGGACTTCTGATCAAGTTGGGTGCAGTGTCATGGACAAACATGAGTTGCTGTTTGGGTTGCAGGTGTGTGTCAAGGGTAGGGTGACCCAAGTTAAATAGGGCAGAACCAAGCAAGAAGAAATGGATCCTCTCCTCAAACCACCCTCTAGACAGAGTATTCCACTGCATGCATGAGCTGAACTGGGGTGGTGCAAGGTGACCTAGAGGTGAGGCTGTAGATTCTCCTCTTAGCACACTTCGAACTTGAGTTACTGAAAGGTGTTGCTGAACTGAGGGGTGTGCAGTTTCTGAAACTGAACCTGTATCTATGCTGTGGTGGTGCTTGTGCTTCTGTGTGAGAGTTGGGAGGCCTGTGCCTGACCCGAACGTGCTCCTGGATTTCCCCTGTGTTTCTGTTCCCTTGTCTCAGACTTTACTGGCACCCTGAGTCAGGTGCTGTGGCTTCAAACCTCCCTTGTGGAAAAGTCCTGTATGGGAAGGGAGCATAAACTGCAGCAATGGGTTGTTCTTGTAGTACTTGGATCCCCTCTGTGAGCAAGAGTCCCTTTCAATGGGGTTGTGACCATGTTTTGGGTCCCTGAGGGTAGCAGACTGGCCAAAAATGAGTCTGTCAAGGCCATAAATGTGATTTGGGAGGGATCCCCTCAAAGACAAATGCTGTGCAAGGGCAGCAGGCTACCAACCCCATGAAGGCTGCAGCTCTGCATGGGTCTGATGGGGCATGGAGGGAAGGAAACCCTTATTGTTTCCCTTAGCTCTTTCATTTTGTGTAAGGCCCTCCAAGCTGAAATGCGCACATCTGCCTCAAAAACAACTTTCCTGCTGCTACTCATCCTGCAGTGTTCAACCAAACAGCACTGCCCTGTCTGATTTCTTCTGAGCTGCAGGAAGGGAGATCTGATCTGGGTAGATCAGATTGGTGGGGACTTTGTGTGGGCTTGTGTTTTAGCTTCCTCTGTGTTGCTGATAAGAAGCTGTTGGCAGCCCTGCCAAGCCCTGTTGGATCCCGCTCACAGTAGAGCATCTAGGCCTGGGCTTGGGGTGTTTTTCCCCTCTGGTGTTCAGGCAAATGATAATGAAATTGCCTTGCAGGTGGGAGGACCTGAGCTGAAGCCAAGATGTGGCAGTCCGTGTCTGTGCTGTGTGTCCTGGTGGCCTTTGCCAATGCCCGGAGCATTCCCTACTACCCACCCCTCTCCAGCGACTTGGTCAACCACATAAACAAGCTCAACACCACCTGGAAGGTGAGTGCAGGGGGCTTTTGGGATGGTTTGTGGAACCAGCTCCCCATGGGAAGTGACAGCTGTGATGTGATGTCCCCTCATGGTGCTTGCATCCAACCAGCCTCTCCAGTGAGAGGATTCCTGCAGTGGTGACTGTTCCACCTTCTCCTTGGAGCAGAGCATTGATGAGTTTGTAGGCTAGGAGTAATGATGAGAGCGGAAACTGGAAAGAGGAGGCTGGAAGCAAGCAATGTATTGGTAACTGGGGTGGCCAGAGCCTGGAGTTGGACTTTTTGGCCACAGAGTCCTGCTTCTGGAAAAAGATGTATTTCCCTATCCCTGTTGGCAGTTTGGCTCTTGTCCCTTGGGTTTTGAAAGCAAATTTGAGACACAGGCTGGGTTGGAGGGAGATGTGGAGGCTGATGAAGGTAGCTGTGAAGACTGGTGCTCAGTCACCCTGTCTCTTCTCAGGCAGGGCACAACTTCCACAACACCGACATGAGCTATGTGAAGAAGCTCTGTGGCACCTTCCTGGGTGGGCCCAAGCTCCCCACCAGGTGAGTGATCGGAGAAGGGAAGGTGGTGGCCCCACAAAAGCTTGTGCAGATGCTCCCCTATGAGTCTGGGTGGGTGAAAGCCCTTCCCTATGGGCTCTGAGCAGGGTTCCTCTGCAGAAGGGTGCTCTGGGGTGGGTGCTTCATTTGCAAAACCTCCTCTATGTGAAGGCAGTGCAAGATCCTTGGTCTTACAAGCTACCAGGGCTGGGAGGAAGAGTGAGCAAGGCAAATTCCACCCCACAGACAAGCTTGGGGCTTCAGAAGGCTGTCAGAGCTCAGCCTGCCCCAAAAAGGATAATTTCTGGAAAGCCCTTTTTCATCTGTTGTAGTAGCAAACAGCCTGGTGGCAGGAAGAGGTTGAGCCTAGGAACAAACTTGTGGCAAGTGTCCCTGCTGTGTTCTGTGGGGCGCTGGAGCAATCATCTAACTCGTAATTGTCAAATTGGAAAATACCAGGGAGCTGTTGACCCCATCTGAGGGCTTCAGATGTATTTACTTTCCTTCACTAAGCAAACAAGTGTTCCAAGTGTTCTGGCCTAGGAGCACTTGTCCTCTCGGTCCCCTTCAGGGGAGCTTGGAGAGACCTCTGCACCCAGATCTATTGCATTTCCTATAACAAGCCTGCCTCTTCTCACAGGGTGGATTTTGCTGCAGATATAGACCTGCCAGATAACTTCGACTCGCGGAAGCAGTGGCCCAACTGCCCGACCATCAATGAGATAAGAGACCAGGGCTCCTGCGGCTCGTGCTGGGTGAGAGCATTTTGTTGGCTGCTGTTGCATGGTTGTGACGGTGTTTGTGCAGAAAGTGAGTGTGCTGCTGAGTTTGCTGATGGACGGTGTAGATTGCTTGTATGTCTCCTCCTCCTGGAACCTGCCCGGAGTCTGTGGACCAAGTGAGACTTCCTCCAGCGCATGCAGCAGCAGATATTGGCCCTGTTGCTGCTTTGCTGTCTGCACAAGTTTCCTTGCGGGTCTGTGAGCTCCTAACCCTGCTGTCCACCATGGCTTGGATCTGATGCTTCAATGCAACATGCAGGAGGGAGCGCCTGCCCTGCTCCAGCCTTGACCTTCAAAGCCTTGGTGTGCAGGTGATGGGGTTGGATGCAGTGTCTGAGCATCTTGCATGTGTGTGTTCCCTGGCCTTGCTCTGCTGCACAGCAGCTCACCTTGCTTCATGCCACTGCAGACGATGGGACAGGAGGGTGTTTTTGTTGTTCCCATGACCAGCATGTGATGCTCTTGGTTTGTTTTTGTTTTTTTTCTTTGTCTGCAGGCCTTTGGTGCTGTAGAAGCCATTTCAGACAGAATCTGTGTTCATACCAATGCCAAGGTGAACGTGGAGGTCTCTGCAGAAGACTTGCTGTCATGCTGTGGCTTTGAGTGTGGCATGGGGTGAGCTACTACTGATCTCCATGCCTTTAAAAGGGCGATGGGAGAAGATAGCACTAGTGTCCTTCAGCTCAAGCCCTATTTCAGCCCTGACTTGCTTGTCCTGTGCTCCCTAACTTACAGGAAGCTCAATCAGTGGCTAATGATAGATGCTGGAATTAGGTGGTACCATAAAGCCTACTGTGCAGCCTAAGGATCTGACTGGGTCATGTCCTTTGTCCAGCAACTGCATGATGATGTCTGGTTTAGCGAGTACATAGAGATGCTTTCTCATGCTTACTTTTAGTGGCTGCCCAAGCCAAAGAAGGGATCTTCTGGTAGCCCCAAAGTCTTGATCTTCAGGTCCCCCACTGGGGAGCTGGGTTGAGGCTCCAGGTTGTTGTTTGGTTTCTGCTGTTCCTGGGGACAGAGGTTCAAGGACCTCGTGAGGAGGATCCTAGAAAAGGAGGCATTGTGGCTTTAGCATCTAGAGTTTTGGATGCTCTTTTAGAGTCTTCCTGCCTGGAACTCCACGTCTCCATGTGTCAAGGTGTAGAAATCCTGGGAAAGAGGGAGATGCACTTAAGGGAGACCCAGCTAGAGAAAGCTTCTGTTTAGCCACCTGGAGGTGGCTCATTTCTCTATCTTTCCCCCAAAAGGCTCTGAGCAGGCCTGAGCTGACAAAGTTGCTGCTTTTCTGCAGGTGCAATGGTGGTTATCCTTCTGGGGCATGGAGGTACTGGACAGAGAGGGGCCTTGTGTCTGGGGGTCTCTACGACTCGCACGTAGGTAAGTCCTGGCATGTACCCCTTGGAAAAGGAAAGAGGAGCATCTCTGGATGGTTGCAGCTCAGCTTTATCCTTCACCTTTCTTTTGGGTGCCGGTTTGAATCTTCATAGCTGCTGCTGTCCCCATGGATCCTCCTGATGAACCTGGGACAACAGGTTCCGAGCAGCACCTAATTGCAGTTGACTTATCCGGGAATGCAGCACAGCAGTCGCAGCTCTACAAAACCTCCTGCTTTCTATGATTAAAAGGGCCAAAAGAGGCCAGGAAAAAAGTTAATGAGGGAAGGAGTGTTCCTACTGTATTGCGCTCAGAAAAAGCACCCTGTCTCCTTGTGTCATGGCCACAAGCCATATATTTCCATCTTTCTTGTGGCATTGTCAAGACCGAGCTGGTGGAAAGAAACCTGAAGGCAGCCCCCTTTATCAGCACAATCTGGTCCCTGCTCTCGCATGGCTATTGGGGACACTGGTGGCGTAGGCTTGAGGAGAGGCTTAACACCCTTGCTCTCAACAGGTTGCCGTCCCTACTCCATCCCTCCTTGCGAGCACCACGTCAACGGCTCCCGGCCACCATGCACGGGGGAAGGTGGGGACACCCCCAGGTGCCAGCGGCGCTGCGAACCAGGCTACTCGCCTTCCTACAAGGAGGACAAGCACTACGGTAAGGGAGGTGGCTACTGATAGAGCCCTGCTCCTCATGCAGTGCAGCTCCAGAGCTGGCCTAGTAGGTCTTCAGGGTAGTTGAGGACAGGCCTCTTCCCAAGCTGTTTTATAGGCAAATTCTGTCTCTGGCACATCCTTAGGACCAGTGTTTCTGAAGCCAAGTATGGGCTGGGAAGATGCATCATCTTTACATTTTAACAAGGGAAACTCTTTTGATGCCTTCTTCAAGCTCTGATGCTCTGCCTGAGCCCTCAGACTTGGGAGCTGGAGCAGGTCCCATCACTCATGGGAGTCCCCAATACCCATCTGGTGTGAGATCTCATAGCTGCAACGTTGCTTGTGAAGAAGTGACTCCATGAACTGCTCTGACAGGGTGCAAAGGAGATGGTTTTGAGTCTTGTAGGGGTCTGACTTGACCTTTTCCCTCCTTTCCCTCTTGGTGGTGGCTGGGATCTTAAATGGGCAATTTGGTTGCTTACTGGAGTTCTTGATTTTGCTGAAGGCTTAGGTATGTACTATCTGCTCTGGCTTGGTCAGGTGGTGAAAGGGAAGGGCAGAAGAAACCTCAGAGTGAAAGTTTGGTCCTTCACCTCCCACTTAAGAAACCCCTTCTGGGTGATGTTGCTTATGAGTGACACTTATCTTCCATTTTTGAGATTAGTTATGTACAAGGATAACTTCTTCCCCTGCTGAATGTGTCTGGAATAGATATTTGGGTATAAAATATGGCTGCTGTGCTCAATGCTCCCTTTTGAAGAAAGGATGAGCAGACTTTTCGTGCCTTGTATCTTGGGCAGTTGTATTTGACTCCTTGACTTAGCCTTCTTCCACACTTGCATTAAGCAGTCACAGTGTAGCTGTCCCAAATCTGGGTGATCTGACAATGTCACACTAACAATAGGATTTCTTCCTCCCTAGGCATCACATCTTATGGTGTCCCTCATAGCGAGAAGGAGATCATGGCTGAGATCTACAAGAATGGCCCAGTGGAAGGAGCCTTTATTGTCTACGAGGACTTCCTCATGTACAAGTCTGGTGAGTGACGTATACTGATGCATCAGCACAAAACAACTTGCATGCCCTGTTCTCTGCTGTATTTTTCCTGAGGCTTAATGTGGTCAGTTTTCCCAAAATATTCATTCATGAAGCCAAGGTTCTTTGGAGGGGTTTTCAAGTCTGCATTGGGTGAAGAAGATGCAAGAAGGCTCCTACAGTTGTCCTTCCAAAAGCTTCATGAAGTTAAATGCATTTGCATCAGAAGCTTAACAAAAAAAAAAAAAAAGGCTCTTGGTTGTTCTGTTAGGGTTTTTGGTATCGAGCACCTAAAAGCTGGCAGTGTACGTGGAAGGACAGGGGGTGGTTGGTGAGCTCCTGTCTTGTGTTGTCCTGCAGGGGTGTACCAGCACGTGTCTGGGGAGCAGGTTGGAGGCCACGCGATCCGGATCCTCGGATGGGGGGTGGAAAACGGCACTCCTTACTGGCTGGCTGCGAACTCCTGGAATACCGACTGGGGCGATAATGGTGAGGCACTGGGCATGACCACCTCTAATGGAAACGTGTGGGATTTTGAGCCTTACGTGGCCCTAGCTGTGGGGAGGAGACTAAGTTGTCCTTCCTGTGCTTCCAGGTTTCTTCAAAATCCTCCGGGGAGAGGACCACTGTGGCATTGAGTCGGAGATCGTGGCTGGCATCCCCAGTACGATGCAATATTGGAAGAAGATGTAAAGTTCCTCTTGCACTGCTGTCGACTTGATCAAATCACAAATAATCCTGAGTCCCTGATGCTTTTAACTGATAGGTTGGGTGCAGAGCCCCCACTCTAAGAGACTATAGTTGAGGTAACTTTATTAAAGCTTTTATCTTTTTTGTTTTGTTTTTTGTTTTTTTTTTTTTTTGTTTTTAATTATGGTGGAGCTGGAGGCAACTGATATTTGAGCTGTTCTCTGCAGGCCCCTTGCTTCTGGTGCTTGTGGAATTGGGACATCCCTGCTCAGAGGTGTTCCATGTTTCATGCCACGGTGTTTGGTTAGCTTGAATTTCTTGAATCCAGCCCAATATAGCAGAGGGAGCAGCAGCTCTGTGCTGGGGGTAGGGACTTGGCAGTAGGGCAGTGGAGACCAAATCCCCTTGGGAAACTTCCAGGCACAACTTGTGCATTCCTGGCTGGAGGGACCTCTTTGGTGCCTGCCCTGAGCAAAGAGGGCATGTGGAGAGCATGATAAGTGGTTAAACCTACATCTACTACTGACAAACTGACTTTCTTGACGTCACAGGCAGGAGAAGCTTTAGCTCCAGCCCCACAAGTCCCTTGTGAATTGCTTGCTTGGCTCTGTAAACCACTTGTTTCTCAGCTGGTTTTTTCCCTGCTGCTGTAGCCTGGGGTTCTTGAGCTTAGGGAAGGGCCTGCCCAGAGCTCCCTGAGCCCTTGATCAAATGCCCTGCAGCACTGGGATGTGTGCTGGGAAGGACTAGCAGTACCATGCAGTCCAGCTCGGTGTGCTTTGGGTCACGGTGTTGGGAGGCTGCTGCAGCTGAAGGGAGTGGGGAGGGGTGTCCTGGACCTGCAAATGCGGAGGCAGCAGAAGAGGGATGCTCTGTAAACCTAGCTTGGGGGGTCCTGCAGAAGCTTAGAGGCATCTTGCTGCCATGTACAAAACTAAAGCTTTTTTGTTTGTTTTTAAAGCTGTGGGCATTAAGGAAAATTATTTTTGTTACTGGGGGGGAGGTTTAGTAGCTGTGTAGGAGGAATCTTGTGATTTGCCAACACTAATACAGCACAATAGCTTTTATGCACAAGGTATGCTGCAGCAAGCCTGAAATGGGTAAAGCAGGCCCTCCCTTTCACTGTATAAATAGCCCCTGACCTCTGCTTACTCGAGCAGCAGTGAGACAGAGCTTTGGTGTATGTGAATGGAACAACTGTGCCAATAAAGGATTTCTCCACTAACTTGTGTCCTGGCCCTTGGGACTAGGGGCTAATGAGAACTGAGGGGTTGGTTGTGGTGCCTTGTGTTTCTGATGAGAGGTTGGGTGAGTAAGCAATCACGGAATGGTTGAGGTTGGAAGGGACCTCTAGAAATCATCTACATGGCTTCTGAAGATCTCCAGGGACTTCCCATCTCTCTGGGCAGCTTCTTCCAGGGTTCTGTCACCTTCATATCAGCTGATCTGGTCTATGCACTTCTGGGAGCTTCTTTTGAGTCCAAAACCTACCTCAGATCAGTCTTGGGCTTTGCCTCTTTTGGAAGCCAGGTGAGACTTTCTCCCTGCATGCAATTGCAGCTAGTCTCAGTCCTGTCCTCTTGACAATGGTGATAGGGTTATTGTGGAGGAGGTGTGTGCAGTCCCTGCTCAGGCTTGTACTGACTCTGGGGCTGAGGTAGAAGGTGCTTTACCAGAGGCAAGGATGAAGTTAGGACTGCAGGTTCTGTATCTCTGCAGGTTGTGCATCCACTTAAAAGTTCTGCCCTATGCACTTGAGGAAGGAAAAAAAAACCCTCAAGGCTTTGCTTTTTTTTTCAAGAAAACTTTAATTTTAACAAGACAGGAAGCTGCACAAAGAGCTACTGCAGTTTTTTTCTTCCTTGAACAAAACAAGAGCTTTAGAACTATCTACACTGGTACTAGGGGAGTCCCCACCTTTTAAGTAAGAGTCTGCTCCTAGGGCACTCAGCCTTGCAAAGGCCAGTTAGCCTCACTGTGAGGCTGCACTCCACCCTGCCCCAGGCTGCATCCTGGCCCCACAGGGCAGCAGCAGAAGGGAGAACACCATCTTTCAAAAAAAAAAAAAATCCCTTTAAGGAGGTGTTTATTCCTTCATGCCCTATTCCTGAAAAGAATAGGGACTGCTTGATCTAAAATGAGCCTCATCTCTTTCAAAAGCAGGGGAAGGCTCTTCCAGTTTTATATATCAGACCCTCCTCAAGCAACACAAGCTGGAAGCCAAGCAAACCAGGGAGCCTGCCCCAGCTCCCCTTGGCCTCTCCCACCCTCCTTGGCCTGCAGCTGGGTTCTACTGCAGCCAGGGGCACAAGGCCCCCTAAACACTTCCCTGCTTTCCATTGCAGGAGACCATGGTGTGAAGCCACATCCCTCCACTTTGCAGAGGCAGCTGGCTCTGCTGTGGGGGTATGGGTGGCACCTCCCCGCTCTAGTGTGGCTGGAACACCCCCTTTCCCTCCTTGCCCAAACCTGGGCAAACAGGAGCTGGAATTGCAGCCTCTCCCCAAGGAGCATCTTGAAAAGTGGACAGTGTCACTGCACCTCCAAGGTTCTTCTGTTTCCAACCTAAGCAGCCTCCTGCAGCTCAAGAACAGAAATGTAAGTATTTGCCTCTCCTCCTTTCCCAGCTGCAGGACTGTAAAAACAGCCAGCACTTTCCCTTGCATAAGGAAACAAGTTCCTGGCTGATGCCAGAGCCTTCTGTGTCCTTCCCCCGCAGGGCACACACCAGAGGCAATAGGGAAGAGGCTGCAAGGGAAGTGAAAGGGAAAAAACCCAAGGCTGTTATCGCCTTGCTTTGAACAGCAGAGGTGGTGTCAAATCCCAAGCAAGGAAAAGAAGCAGCTGGAGCTTCTATTTAAAACCCTCCTAACCAAAAATGTGGGTAAGCTGTCCAAGGGGGGAAAAAGAAAAAAATCCACCTCAAACAGTAAGACTCCAGTTGGCATTTGTAGCCATCCAACCAGACAGCAAAGGGAGGGCAGGAGCAGAGCCTGGCAGTGCCCAGGTGGCACCGGGGGCTCCAGCGCCGCCGGCGTCCCCTCCTCTCAGCAGCAACAGGGGCCCGCAGGGACCCCGCTGCTCAGCCAGTCCCCTGGGAAGGGGAGCGTCCTCCTCCCTGCCCTCCACCAACCAACCGTCCGTGGCGGCAGCGCGCTCAGTTCTCGCCCGTCTGGACCAAGTCCTCGGCCGCCTTGGAGACGGTGGTCAGGTACTGCCAGCTGAGCGCGGCCAGGAGCATCGCGCACGACACGTAGATGGGCGAGTAGTGGTGCCGCGAGGCCAAGGGGCCGTGGGGCAGGCTCTGCGCCCGGATGGAGGCCACGATCTGCTGCGTCTTGTTGCACGAAGGGTCCGCGCTCGGGATCTTCTGGTAGATCTGGCGGGAGGGGAAGGGGAACAATGGCTTAGACCTGGAGTTCAGGAGGGGAATGGAATCACTGCGTGGATGAGGAGGTGCTGGAGCACTGTCTCCTCAAGAGCAATGGAGTGCCAGAAACCTGCAGGTGAAGGGAGATCCAGCTGACAGATGTTGGGATGCCTGTACAGGGGGAAGAATAACCCCAGGCACCAGTACAGATTAGGGCTTGACCTGCTGGAGAGCAGCTCCACAGAGAGAGACCTGGGAGTCCTGGTTGACAATAAGTTAACCATGAGGCAGCAGGGTCCTCATGGACAAAAGGCCAATGGGATCCTCACTGCATCAGGAGAAGTGTTGCCAGCAGGTCAAGGGAGGGGAATCCTGCCCCTCTCCTCAGCTCTGGTGAGGCCTCACCTGCAGTACTGTGTTCAGTTCTGGGCTCCCCAGTATAAGAGGGACACGGAGCTTCTCGAGAGGGTCCAGCATAAAGCAACAAAGGTCATTAAGAGACTAGACCATCTATCGTACAAGGAAAAACTGAGTGAGCTGGGCCTGTTTTCCCTAGAGAAGGTTCAGCGAGGATCTTATCAACATGTACAAATACCTGAGGGGAGCATGTAAGAAGGGGCCAAACTCTTCTCAGTGGTGGCCAGTGATAGGACAAGGGGCAACAGGTGCAAGTTGAAACCCAGGCAGTTCCATCCCCATGGGAGAAGAACTTGTTTGCTGTGTGACAGAGGCCTGGAACAGGCTGCCCAGGGAGGCTGTGGAATCTCCTCCTCTGGAGATTTTCCAACCCTGCCTGGATGCCACCCTGTGCCACATGCTCTGGGTGTCCCTGCTGGAGCAGGGGGTTGGACTAGATGATCTGTAGAGGTCTGTTCCAACCTTAACCATTCTGTGAAGGGCATTTTCCCATTTCCCTTGAGAAGTGCATTAAGCCAGACAGCCTCTTGAGGGCACCCCATGACGGGAGCTGTCCTCCACCGCGCCAAGCTACCCAACAACCCAAGAAGGTTGTTCAAAATGAAGTACTCAACCTACCTCTTCCACATACTGGTACATGATGGTTTTGACAGCTTGTATGTTTGTGGCATCCATCATGAGAGTGACAGCTTGTCCCTTCCGGATCTTCACTACGCCCCTGAACACCTGCTTGTTGTTGTAACAGGCAGCCAGGGTGGCAATAGCCATCACCTAAGGAAAACAAAAAGAAGAGACTTCACTACTCTGCTAGGAACTTGCCAAGGAAATAACCTAGGTCCTGCTGAAATCAATGGCAATGCTGGAGTGGCACCGAGATCTCACCTACAGCATGAAGAGAAGGCAAAGGAAAGAGAGATTGAAGAAGAGGAGAATAAACAGACTAATACTAATATGACACATACTCCGTCACAGCTGTCTGCAGCCCTGCTGCAGAGAATGAATTTAACCCATTAAGCCACCTGAAAGCAGGAACTTACTTGAGGGATAGCACAGAAGTTGAAGACACTTTGGTTTTTCAGGCGAGATAAGTATGTTAGAACATCRGGGACGTGGTGGAGAGCGTTGGTGATCAGCTCATTCAGACACTGCACAGCCATATCAATGTTCTCTGGTTTGGCAAGATCCGACAGCTTCTTGGCATATCTGCTCCAAACCTGCCAAAGATTCACAAGTTGGAAGGTACAATCATGCTACAGGACACACAACAGCACAATCTGAGGTCAAAGATGCCAAAAAGAACCAGAGATCTACAAAAGAATTATGGCTTATTAGGCTAAAGAAAGAAGGTCTCTGGAGACATGACAGTGGCCTTCATGTACAGAAACAGTAAAGAAAAAGCAACCAACTCATCTTCACATGTTGTCTAGGTAGGGCACAGAAAAGACAGTTCACACAATAGGCTGCACATAGGAAATGCTTTATGAGACAGGTCAGCCCTGTGATACACTATGTATGGAAGGAAAGAGAATTGCTGCCCTTGCAGGGCTTTCAGAACAGCCAGGCACGGACAGAGCTGACCCTGTTTTGGGGAATAGGTAGGAATCCTCCTGAGATGTCCCTCAGTCCCTCCCTGATGTCCTGAGATATCCCTCTCCCTCATTCCTAGAGCTAACTTAACAGAGGGGAAATGAGCTGTTTAGTAAGTTCTTGGAAGCGTGGGGCATCAACTCATCATCACACTTGCATCTATATGTACCTGGATAGATGGGGAACTGCCAGTCAGTTGTCATTTGAGGAACTCCTACTGTCAAGGAGCTGCACAGGCCTGTCACAGTTTGTCATGTAACAGTCTTAGTTGAACAAGGCAGTCAAATTTCTCCTGTTAACTTTGACTTAAAGGAACGTGGCAGAGGCCACGGTTGTAGCTGGGCACGTTGTGCTATGTACCCTGTAATGCACTTCTGTGAGCCAGGTGCCCTGGAAAGTACAGCCTGGTTAGCTGTATCTTTGAGAGAGCTCAGATAGAAGCACAAAGGCTGCCAAGGCACGTGAGCAAACTCACAAAAGCTGTGGAATCCCCAGTCAGTTTTTTTTCCAGAGGAAGTTCTAAGAGGAACTCTTATTAAAGAGGATGGTGCAATTAACTATTTGAGCAACAACAGGATCTTCAGTCTTTGTACACTGTTCTTAACACAGCCCAAGCATTCCCTTAGGAGACACAGCTGAAATCTTTGTACAAAAGCAGTGTTGTTCCTTACCTCTCTGGGCCAGAATTCCCTTCCCTCCAACTGATCCTCCAAATAGTCACGGATTATGTTGGTCTTCTGCAGGAAGAGGCCCATGGAATTTGCCAGGTCTGTGTCTTGTCCAACAATAGGGTCTTCTAGCTCTGATGCAGAGAAGAGACGGGAGAGGCCTATTCCCACCAGCCCAGCAACGTAGTGACAATACTGTGAGGCATCAAGAGGAGAAGAGAAACAATGCAAAACAACCAATTACAAACCAGGACTTGGTTTACTACAGATCTGTTATGGAATTACCACCCAGGTGTAATTTAATGTGTGATTTCTGCAAATCTTCATGGTCTTCCTTACCATATCTCTACTTTCTAAGCGCAAGGGCTGCTAAAATGACAGGTCACCCAGAATAGGTGCTAGTGGGTGACTTCAAAATGCACAGAGGGAGGATTACACTTCAATGAGTGGCTGGACCGGCAAGGCCTGAGGAATGCAGGAACATCTGCATCCTTCTTTAACAAGTCCTGGGGCCAGAAGAGGTCCTAGCAATAATCCATATGATCATTGTGGCAGCCACAGGACCAGCAGCTGCAGTTTCTCAGAGCCTTTTCAAGCCTCCCTCAGGCAGCTAAGCCAAGTTCCCAGAGGAATAGTCTAACTGCTAGGCACTGCCATCTTTTCCCCCAGGGAAAGCATGGGCCTGAAAAACATCAGGTTTCAGGCTCCTGGATGTAAATTCTTTGCTGTAGGAGGCATCTCCACCCTGCCTGCAGCCAACCCCACTCCTCAATGTTTCCTGAGATTTAATCCCAGGGAGTTCCCTGCTGTTTCTTCATTCATGATGATGCTCCCTCTCCAGCCTATTCTGTGACAAGATCAAATTCCCTCCTGCTGCAAAGCTACCAGTGAAGTCTGCCTCTTCCATACCGGCTTTGAGTCACAGCTGTCCTAGATTAAGGAACAGCTCACCATGGAAAGAGAAGATGTGCGTGCAAACCCGTAGGCTTCCACAAGGCTGCTGTCACATTCTGTCTGCTTCGTGCACAGACTGACTTACCTTATCCCACTCGTTCTGAGAGTCCACCTTCTTCTCCAAGAATTCTGCCATCCCGACACCCATCTTGTGACAAATATCTGAAATCACCTCCTGATACACCTTTGACAAGCTCCGGAACTCCGAGGAAATCTGCAGCACAAACCACCAAGACAGAACAAAGAGAACTGTCAGGAGGAAAAGCAGAATTCAACACTTATTAACAAACCAGAATACTGTTTACCAGTCTCTTATCCCACTCTGGCTGGAGATCTAGGACAACTCCCACAAATAGACCAATTTCAAGGCCTTTAACTACCGGCTCGTTATGTTCTGAATCTAACCAGTATCATATTTGGCAGTAGATCAGACATGGCAGTATCTCTGGTAAGACTCCATGGCCTTGGACTGGTATCATGTGGGAGTTGCAGAACAAAACTAGTTACACTTGGTGCACAGAGGTTTTTTTTTGTCATTTATGAGCACATCCCATCAAACCAACCACTGGAAAAAAAAAGCCAAGGCTTCTGGTGCTCCCTTCTCCCTAGTCTTTTCCAGCTCTGGCTATTCCAAGGCACAAAGGTGACCTTTGTACAATAGAGAAGGCATCAAACTACAGAAGATGGAGAAGACTCCTCTTCTGCAGCTCCAGTAATAGTTTCAGTGACTCAGCTGCCCTCAAACTAAGTAAAAAGTATATCCTCCTCGTTCCTGGAGCTGCAGTGTCACCAGGTTTCACTGTGCCTTCATCTCCTGAACTCTCTTTTCCACCAGCGGGTAACAATAGGCAGCCTATGGTGCATGTGTGAGAACAGGGGCAATCTGAACGACTCCAGGTGAGACACGAACACCACTGCTAACCCCATCCATTACTGCTGGCATGTCCTGTGTTTCAGTCTTCCTGCCTGTAAAATTAAAACACCGAATCTCCTTCAGTCTCAACGGCTTGGATCCATTGAACCAACTGAAGCACCAACTGTGAACACACGTCTACCAAACAGTATTAAAAATCAAACCTCAACAGGAACCCAGACTGTCAGAGCTGGTAACACGTACAAACCAGGAGACAACAATGAAGTTCTCTAAATGCCTTCCCAATAGAAAGCTGTTATTTCAGCTCTCCTGAAATAACAAATGATTGGCCAGCCTACTATATCTCTGTTGCTATATACTGAGAATCCCCTGATACAGCAATCTCCTGTAACACGCACCCCTCCCAGACAGGGCTGAAATTCCAGCTCCACATTGCAGAGATTCCCAGATTCCTTCACTTTCGGAGCACAACAAACCTGAAGGAAAATCTCAGTCCTTGATGTCAAGCTTCCTGTATCTTTAAAATAACTGTCCCCTTCTCACTACAGAAAGCCTGGTAAGGGTGAGCTGAATTGAAAAAGGCCAAAATTTGATCAAAACAGAACTTCCTCAGAAGAAGTACTTCTCATGATAATCGCACTGCTTCTTAAACAGATTTTTTTTTATACAGCTGTTCTTGATTACCAGGAGCCACAGCAAAACTGCCCCTGTGCCTTCATTAAAAATAGGTATCAATTCCCACCTGATAGAGCGTAACCTTGTCTTTCAGCCACAACATCTATAGTTTTGGCTGCCAACTTGGTTGTTCTCCTCCAGAAGGACTGCCTAGGCCACTTTCTTTCCCCTCTGTGGGTATAACACACCTGCAGAAACTCAACAGTGCTGGAATATGCTGGATCTCAGGGCAGCAGGACTCTGGTCATGCTGTTTTTACTGAAACCTGGCAGAAGCCCACACAACTGGGGTCCACAACCCTATAGCTATATCTGGACTAGTAAATTAAGTATTTACAGAGCACAGGCTTCATCACTTGCAGAGTTTTGTTGTTAGTGGGGTCTCTGATGTGCTTTTGACTCAGGTCCACTAGAACTGACCCCAGACTTTAGCGATTAGCATGGGCTAGCAGGCATTTGCCATGGATAATTTGGGATGCAGTCACACTGTTCTGGAAGCTGAGAGAGTTTAACAGTCTGAACATAACCAGACTGTGCCAGCTGGACTTAAGGTCAGCAAAGGGACCTCAATACGGTTCAGTTCGCCAGAAGAGAGGTAGGTTCTCTGTGCTAAACGGAATGGTCCTTTAGGTTTATGAACAGAGATGTAGTTCTTCTTATTTGATAGGCTACACCAAAGGACCTCCAGATTCATACAAATCAACGGTAGAATCTGCAGGACCACTGCAAACACTGCTCCCCCTTGCAGCTGGATGCCAAACAATCTTTCCTCATCTCCTCATCTGTTATGGGTAACAGGATAGCAAGCTCATGAAAAAAACATAGGTTCTACAGCACTGGGAAACAAGACAAATTGTTTTCTGCAATGAGCCTACCAGCAGCAGAGAGAAAATGCTATTTCTGCACTTGCAGAGAACCAGGTATTTCTGCCTCATATAGGGAGGGCAAACCCTAACATTTAACAACTACACGAGCTCTGTCACCCATTTCTCCTCTTTCCTTCTTCTGAAGAGCTACAGGGTCATCAAGGACTAAAAAGGCTCAAGAAGTCTTCAAACTCAGGATGCCTCACCGTTGGGAAGTCCTCAAGCACCTGCCGGTCCTTCTCCTTGCTCTCCATGTATTTCCACTCCGGCTGGTAGAGATAGGAGTGGAACTCGTGCAGCATCGGGACTTTGACGTCCAAGCTGATGGTCATGTCATCCTCTATGGTGTCCAGAGCACGGAGGACTAGGTAGAATATACACACGGCATGTCTGGAGGGAGAGAAACAGGCATTGTTTAATCAGGAGTGCCTATTACAAAGGAGCAACAGCTTAAGCTAATTGTGCAGCCTTTGCCAGAAGCATTTCCAGCTCAGTGTGACACACACAGACCCTGCCAGGTTGTTGATGCCCTTGGAACAACATAATAACATGCACTACCAGCACAACCCACAAGCACTTCTGCGCTACGAGCCCACAGTACTTCAGCTACTGAGCGTAAAGGAAATGAGTAATTTCTCATTTCCCCAAATTTACTTGCCTCCACCTTTTTTTTTTTTTCCCCTCCCCTAAAACCAGAAAGTCTGTGCTACAGCCTGTAAGTCAGCTTGTGTCAAGGGACACTCACACTCAGCCCTTCCTCTGCGGCAGACACAGGGAGCTTTGGTTTGCCCATTCCTCATCTAGGGACAGTGGCTGTCTCCCACCACGCAGGAATGCAAAAATAAACACACTGGGCAGGAGTTGCTTGGATCCCAGGGTAGCACAGGCACGCAGGTTAGAGACAGGAAGGAGACACTTGCCAGTACAATAAAAAGGTATTTTTCCAGGTTCCCAGGCTTCCCTAATCCATGTTATCCAGTCACCTTGACTCTTTACAGACTTTGAGTGATTTACAAGCTAAGCTGTCACAGCTGCAGGATGCCAGACCTGGGCCAGGAACTCCATGTTTTTCCTTCACACAAAAGCTTACTGCACAGCTTTTTAGTTTCTAATACACGTATCAAGGGAAGAAAAGGCTCCTAAGAGCTCTGTAGGCAGTGCACTGCACTGCACGAGACAAATCTGCAGGCGTAAACCCAAGTCTCTAAGTCAATGCTCACTTAAGACCCACGGGGATAGAGACTGGAGTCTGTTTACAGGAAAAAACAAGCGCAGCAAAAAGCAGGGGCAGAATGAAGTGGAAACGCACCCAGCATTGCTGCAGAAATCTTATCACTCCCTCCGTGATCACCCATCTTCCACAGCCCTGCAGCTGAAGCTAAAAACTCTTGATTTTGAGAAATACTCCGGGATTTAAACACAGAATCCCCTGGCTCTTAATGAGCATAGGGCTACTTCGGAGATGTTGCATTTACTAATTACTTGGCAAATCACAACTTGTTTGTGTTGTGTGAGCCCTGATTATGAGGTGAAAGCGCCAGGATGACAAGGTGCAGGGAATGATTAGGCAGCCAGGGAAATCTGCCTGCTTCTTAGCTCCTTCACTGCTAAATGTAACTTTTTCTTTTAATCAAAGGGTATTTAGTAAAGTATGATCTAGGATAGACTCGCTCGACTCCAGCGAGATTTTCCGTTTCAACCAGGCTGCACACATTCATCCAACTTGTTAAAAACACATAGGGCTCCTACAGACAGAAGGTAGGATCGGAGAAAAACAAAACCAACAAAAACAGTGAGGACATTCACTTCTAGCGCAGCTTCTAATGCGTGTGCAGTGACTCATGGCCCATGCAATGGTCCAGAAGCTCTTCTTTTCCCTGGAGAAACACTCTTAACTCTTCTTCAGAATTAAGTTTTCCATCAACCCTGCTGTTCGAGCCATGCTCAAACACTATATAATCACATTCCATTTACTTTGCATTTCCCTCTTCTGTTCCTAAACTCTTCAGAATTAATTTGCTTTGAAATTTTTTTTTTTTTTTTTTGATGCAAGAGCAGCCTGTAATAGCCCAATAGCACGTGCAGCCATATGTTGCACAGATCTGGGACTGGCTTTTTTTGAGGGGGAGGATGCCAGTTAAGAGCTTCCATGGCCTCATGATAAGGAGTCAGCAGTAGCTGAATTAAGATACAAATCATAGAATCATAAGCATCGATTGAGGATAAAAAGCAAGGACTGAGAACTGGAAGAGAGACAGAGATGACCACAGGAGCAAGCAGAGCACATGTGGGCATCGCTAACAGGTTTCAGCCAGTGTTACTGACTGATATTTTTGTTAATGTCCACATTAGCTAATATTCTCAGGAATATTAAAGCAGGAAGAAAGTTCAATTCTTGGCTTTACTCATTCTATTCCATGCAACCTCAGCCAAGCCACTGAATTTCTTCGCTTTTCCCGTAAAACGGGCTGCAAACAACCATTTTACAGACATTGCAAGAGAACCACAGGACACGTTCCAACGCACCAAATCAGGCTCTCAAACCCGACAGTGTCCAGGCTGGCATTTGGAACTGCGCAAACCTGACTTGGCGGAGTGGCAGTGTATGTTAGAAATGTTTGGTTGAAAATTTTGAAAATAAATACATAAAAATTCCTGTGCTCAAACACCTCAAAATCACTGCTTGGCAGGCACCAGGGGTGCATTCGGACAAAGTGCAGGTTTTGGAGGCAGCTGCTCACAAAAACACCTTTCAGGCCGGGGTTTTCACCTCCCTCCGCCCGCTCCCCAAGGCCCAAAGGCTGGCGGATCCCAGCGCTGCCAGCACACGCATTCCCAGGGTGTCACGAACTGCACGCAGGCCGGGCTGCCTTTAACCACCTCCTGGCCGGAGGGAGACGCCAGCGCTGCCATGAACCTCCCCGCCTGCGCTCAGCTCAGGGGCCCAGGAGTCCTGCGCTCAGCAGGGAATACGTCACCCCTCCTCTGCTCGGCCAAGCAACTCAGGGGCTTTGCTGAATGGGTTTTGGGGGTACACTGACATTTCCTGGGCAGTTTGGGTGAAGAAACGCCATCTCCAGGGTCTGCTGGACTGAGCACCCTCATCAGCTCAGCCCAGGGTCTCCCATACTGAGCACCCCCGGCCAGCCCAGCTCCCCACAATCCCCCAAATCCCGCTACACGGAGCAGGAGCTGTAACAATCACCTGCTGCACGGGGTAGCAGTTGCACTGACCACTCTGCGCCCCAGTGCACAGCTTGGGGGCTGCACTGACCCCCCACAACCTGCTGCGCTGGGCAGGGTGCACTGCACTGACCACTCCGTGACCTGCTGCAATGGGATGGGGACTGCAACGGGATGGGGGCTGCACTGACTCTCCCATGACCTGTTGCAATGAGACAGGGGCTGCACCCATTCGCTTGGTGCACCAGGACAGGGGCTGCACCGGCCACTCTGTGACCTGCTGCAATGGGATGGGGTCTGCACCGAATGCCCCACAACCTGTTGCAATGGGACAGGACTGCACTGACCACCCCATTACTTACTGCGCTGGGCAGAGGCTCAACTGACCACCCCATAATCTGCTGCAAAAGGCTGGGGGCTGCACCGGGACAGGGGCTGCACCATGCACCCCATGATGTGGTGCAATGGGCTGGGGGCTGCACCAATAACCCTGGAACCTGGTGCAATGGGCTGGGGGCTGCACCAACCACGCCAGGACCTGGTACAAGGGGCCAGGGGCTGCACTGGGCCAGGGGCTGCACCCACCACCCCATAACCCGTTGCACTGGGCCAGGGGCTGCACCAACCACCCCATGAACTGCTGCAATGGGCTGGGGGCTGCAACATGCACCCCGGAAGCTGGTGCAACGAGCCAGGGGCTGCACCATGCACCCCAGAACCTGGTGCAACAGGCCGGTGGCTGCACCCAGCACCCCATAACCCGTTGCACTGGGCCAGGGGCTTCACCAACCACCCCTGGACCTGGTGCAATGGGCTGGGGGCTGCACTGGGCCAGGGGCTGCACCCACCACCCCATAACCTGCTGCAGGGGGCTGCCCCGCCTGCACTAACGCCCTGGGGACCGCGCTCACCGCCGCCCCCATGCCCATGTCTCACCGCAGCTCCCCGTCGAGCGCCTGGATGACGGCGGCGAAGCTGCGGCTCGTCTGGTTGAGGTAGCGGTAGCAGGCGCGCAGGCCGGGCCCCAGCGAGTCCTGCGGGCAGAGCGCGGCGGCGGCGGCACCGCGCGGCGGCTGAGGGCGGC